ACGGGCATGTAGACGGCGCTAGTGTCGCCGGCGGCGGCCGACCGGCGCACGGGCACGGCGGAGGCTGCGTCCGCGCCGCCGCCGACGCTTTGTTGATGTGGCGCTCGGCCGCCGCCGATGTCAGCGGCTCGGAGCAGGTGCACGTGCAGCAGTGCCGCGGGGCGTCACCACCTCGCTGCCATCGCGCCATCCACGTCGCCAATGAATGGAAGCGAATGATCCCGCTGGTGGCCTACGGTCGGCAAATCTGGACCTGTCCGCAGATACCGACCGCGATTTATCGGCTCGGCCACGCTCACGCCAGCCATTCACGCCAGCGGCTCGCTAACGGCGGCACTTGCTCCCGTTCCGAGCGACGCCGTTTCATCACCCGGCGCGAACAATGGCTCGACAGCGGAATTAGCCGTCGGGCCGTGTCACATTTCCCAGCTCGCCAATGGCCGCCGCGTGTCACAACTGACGGCGCGGCCGCGACCCCGCCCCGGCGCCGATTGTCCGCGCCGGTACGTCACACGCCGGCGCCGCCCGGGGCGCCCGCCTTGCGTCACCGGCGGCACAGTTTCTGCGGCCGTGGGACGGCGGCACGGCCGCCGCCGCCGGCCCGCACGCCATCCGACGACACGCCGGCGCTGTCCCGCACTCTCAGTCGGCTCCGGGTGTGCACCGCTGTCCGACGAGCGGCGTCCACGATGCTTCGCGTTCGTGCCGCGGGCAGCGGGCGCCGGCGGCGATCTCGACCGATCTCGACCGACAGCGGCCGAGCGGGGTCCCACGCGCCGGCGGCGCCTTTGTTTGGCCGGGCGCGCACGCACCATTCCATCACGCTACGTTTACTAAGCGGTCCACTAATTGCCGGGTCGGGCTGACTTTATGAGAGCGAGCCGCCCGCTTTCCCCGCTTCGGCGTCGGCTGGCCGTCTCGCCGCCCCGCCAGCTGCGCCGAGCCCGTCACGTGACGCGCGCGGCTGCTCGGGCCGGCCCGTGACGCGGCGCGTCGCAGCGTCACACGCACGTCACGCTCCCGCCGGAGGCGTCACACCGTCACGACCGTAACGGCCGCCGACGAGCCGAACCTCCTTGAGCGCCTTCGGACGGCGAAGCCTCGCCGGAGCGTGCCGAGTTTGGGCCGGGGCGGTCGGTTATCGGTGAGCTATGGCACCGGGTGTCAGCCATAATCCACCGCGGCAACGGAGGCCGAAACTTCGCGGCCCGCCACTGGCAGGGTGGCCTGGGACTGACGTCCGCGAGACGCGGCTGCCTTCCCCACGGACGGCAACGAACTGCCGCATCCTGCAACCTTGCTCTCAACGGGAAACCCGGCACTTTGAGGGTGCACTGACGGGATGGATCGCTATTTCGTTGTCGGAATGAGCGGTACCAGCTACTTACGTATCATCACCCGCCGTAGCTTGCAGCTGTTAATCAACAGTCTACAAGTAACGTCTTCTGCCAGAAGAGTGACAGCTTTGAACTTCAATGCAGCACATCGCATTTGCATACCGGCACCTCCAAACGCCTCTCAGGCACTGAAGAGTACACCACGTATTCATGGGCCCGACTGGCCGCGGGCGGCGGGCGGCGGGCGACACCAGCCGGCCCCGGGCCGCGTTCCCACAGCCGACCGCAGTGTCGCAGCGGCGCCGCGTCGGGGGTCGACCAGGCCGCAGCTGGCGGGGCGGGTCGGCCCGAGCTGACCGCAGCAGGACCACCCGCCCGTGACCCGGCGGCGGTCGGGTCACAGGGTCAGTGACCCCCCCCCCCCTCTGGCAGTCACCTGACGGCTGGCGGTGCAGTTTCGGTCGAGCGTGACCGTCGCTGGAGCCGATTGATGGGGCGCTTCGAAATCGCCCGCGGCACTGAACCGTCTGGGCCGGGCTTAAAGGGCAGTGGCACCGACAAAGCGGTCTCGACGCCCCTCGTGCACCCAGAGGTCAGAGGTCAGCCAGCAGGCGCCCCGGGCTACGCCCGAGGCCGAGTCGCCCAGCACGATCAAACGGTGCCGATCTGATCCGGCGCCAGCACCTGGCTGCGCGCGCGGCGTGAACAGATTGACTGAGCCAGACCCCGATTCGCAGGCGCTGCGAGAAAACGGCCCGGCACCTGGCCACAGAGGACAGGCAGGGACCCGTGACGGCAGACCAGACGCCGAAGCGAACCAGAACGAGGAGGCAAACTCGCCGCTGTCCTTGGCCGTGCATCTGCAGTGGTCAACGGCAATACGGTGACATCAGGGGCGACAAGGCACTGTCGCGACGACGCCACACCCCACCCACGTTCTCCGACCGGGAGTCTAGACCAGACTCGGCGGCGTCTAAGCGGCCGTCGTCCTGGGACTGGGACAGCCCCTGCGTATTCGCGCCACATTCGTCCTCCCGCGCCCCCTGTCGTCGTGGCGTTGTCATCGCCATAGACGCAGCGGGGTCAGCCGATGATGCGTCCGCTTCCTGGCCGCTTGCTCGTGACGCCGTCTCCGTGACCTCTCCTTTGTTCCCAATGAGCGGCGGGAATTCGTGCCCACATTTTCGGAGGTTGCCGATGTCGCTCGAGTTCACTGCACTTTGCCATAAACGTTAACTACGAAGTTCCCGTTGGTTGGAAAGGTTTCGGAATTTTGATAAGCGGTTCCATTAGTGTAAAGATACGACAGAAGATGAAAACCCGGTTTCGGGGCCGTTGGAATGCCATATTACTGGAAGTAAGGCAAATACTGACCCAGCGCTCCTGACGGGAGCGTAAATAATTGTGTCAAATGACTCTCAACACCCCAATATCAAATTTGTGAAACGCAATACTTACTGCCCGGAGCCAAGCAACGCACAGCAGCGTTTCACCGGCGCATCCCAGCCTCCAAAATGAAGTCGTAATGTGGTCGCCACAACACAACGGCGAGTAATAACTGCCACACTTGTTCCTGCGCGCCAGCGCGGTAGACAATGATCACACCAAACCAGCCGACACCACGCGCCGGCTCACCTTCCGCTACGCCCGCTGTCAACACGACGCCACGACGCTCGGGACAGCATCCAGATCTGACCCCCAGCCGACCACTGGGCCCCGTCCCTGGAAACATATTCAATTTCTCACCACGTTTGGAACGAGCGCGCATTTCCCGCGGCGCTACAAACGCCGCCCAGCCCCGATGTTCCGCCGTTGCTCTATTTCCGCCCCGTCTCCTAAGCCTGTTCTCTGCGCTTCCGCGGTTAGCCTGCCAGCGCCGTCGGCTCATCCCGCCCCTGCACAAACACAAACACCCCGCGGGTCGGCCGGGGGAGGCATCGGCGCGTGCTGGGTCACCGCGCCGCGCCATGGGCGTCCGTAGAAATTTCGTCCTGTGAGGGAGGGGGAGGAGGACGGCATCTTAACATCCGCACAGAGTCAGTAAGGGAGTCGTAATTTTTTCCCTCGGAATCGTCTTCCATGTGCACAAAAAGGCCACCCTCCGCCGCCACCCCTCCTGAGCGCGCCCCTGCCCGTGTTCCTTAGGACCTGAGGTGGCCGGCGGCCTGGCAGCGGCGCCGGCACCCGGACAGCCGGGAGCGTGGGACCGACAGCCACCCAGAGCCACCGGTCGGCCGGGCCGGCGGCAGGCGCGGACGGAATGGGAACGGCGGCCGGGCGGCGGCGGGCGGCGGCCGGGGGTCGGTCCGCGACCGGCAGCCGGCACCGGGTCACACGGAGGACAGGCGCGCCGCTGGGACGGCAGCGGCGCAGGCCGGATCCCGTCAGACGATACACCCGGTCCGGCTGGGGCGACACAGTGCTGGGGCGACACACGGAAGGACCGCGGGCAGACAAGCAGAGGCGGATCGCCGCGCCGACTGGCAGCCCCGCAGGACAAGTGGGACGAGCCATGGACGCACACACCACACACACAGCACTGATCGGTCCAATGGAGAGTACGCGGGACAGTTCGGGCCGCTCGCGAGCAAACAACGGTCAGACAGCCGGCCAGACACACCCGACAGATCCCATCCGCAACGAAAACCGGCAATACAACGGTCACCACAAGCTTCATCGGACACCCGACCAGCGCCACGGCCGGGAAGCCGCAGCTCCCCCCCCCCCCCCCCCCCGGCCGCTGACCGAAGCCCCACACGTCATCCGGCCCGGTGTGCCGGAACAACGCGCCGTCGCGCCCAGCAAAAACAGCGCTCGGCGCGCCGTCCCGCGCGCCGGCGGCGGCCGCCCCCTTATTAGCCGGCCGGCGAGGCGCGGCCCGGCCGTACACACGGCCATCGTCGTCCCACCGCGCCGTGTAACGACACAGACACCGCCATGAAGCGCCGTGTAACGATACCGAGACCGGCCCGCCGGCCGGGTGGGGCCGCTCTCCGCCCCGCCGCTCCGACACATCCAGGTGCGGACGGCTGGCCAGCCGGCCGGCCGGCGGGCGCTCTAATGACTCATCGGCAGGTGATTCAGTCGCCGCGCGCGGCCCCCAGCCGCCGGGGGGCGATCACGACACCCACGGGACCCGTACACGGCGTCACCGACGCCGGCAGCTGATCAGGACCGACCCCGGCGGCTCCGTGGTGACGGCCGCGCCGGGCCCGTGTTGACGAGTGTCGGAGACGGCGGGGACGGCGGCGTCGGAGGCGCGCGGCGAGGGGAGGCGCAGGCGCTTCGCGTGCGGCAGGGACGTCCCGGCCGGCTCCCATGGCGCGGCGCGCGTGACTGACGGCAATCACGGTGCCCTCAGCACGTCGGCGGCCAACCCGGTGCGGAGTGATCACGGGCCTCACTCTCCGGGCCGGCAGGCCAGCGTGGCGGGCCGGCACCGCCTCGCTCTCTTGTGAAGACACGGCTCGGCAGCTCGGCGTTGTCATGGTTACAACGCCACGCACAGCGTAAGCTGCACAGCAGTTCATTCACGGCACTCCGGGCCGACTCTGCGCGGTTGGTTACGCGGCGTTCATCGCGCTCCAAAGCGTACTGGGGAGGCCTAAGCTGATGGACGGCCTCGCTCTCTGCGCTCTCAGCCCGCGTCCGGGCGGTACTCACCTCATCCTGAGCAGCGGCGTCACCATCAGCGAGCTGAACATGCCGCCCGGCCTCATCTGCCCCGACGGAGTGAGGACCTCCGAGGGTCCTAGCCGCTCGGTCTCTCACGGGGCCCCGAGTGAGTGCAGTCACGGGCCCTCACAGCACGCGCGCACCGGTGCGCCACTCGGCACGAGCGGAAGCTCCACGGGCACACGTCCCGCCGCCTCCCCGAACACGAGCGTCCGCTCCTCCCAACGGTCTCTCGCCAACCGCGGGCCGTCGCTTCTCGATTAGCGGCCACTCACCGAGCGTCCGCCTCTCACCGGTCGGCCAGAGGTGCTCGCCGGTCGGCCAGACGTGCTCGCCTGCAGTGCCACCGCCTCTGAGAGCTGCGCCCCAGCGCCACCGACAGCCAGCACTGGCGGCGTCGGCGCGGCGCCGAACACCTGCCCGCCCGCTGTCGCCCGCAGCTCCGCGACACGGACGAGGACGGCCGCCGCCGGAGCGCCGCCCGCTGCCGGTCCGCGCGCCGGACCACCACTGCCGCGGCGGCGGCGGCGGCGGCGGCCGCGATGAATGGGCGGGCGGGAGGCGCCGCCGGCGACCCGAGCGGAGCGGCGCCGCTCGGCCGGCCGGCTGATCGATGGCGGGGGAGTGAAGCCGGGAGCTCCCCGACGGCCACCGGCGGCGCCGCCTCTGCACCGAGCGCACCAGCCGGCGCCGGCCCCGGTGCCTTTCGCTGCCTGACCCCTCCTGGCAGGAGTTTAGTCTAGTCTAGTCTAGTCGTCTAGTCTAGTCTAGTCTAGTCTGGTCTGGTCTGGTCTGGTCTGGTCTGGTCTAGTCTAGTCTAGTCTAGTCTAGTCTAGTCTAGTCTAGTCTAGTCTAGTGTAATCTGGTCTGATCTGATCTGATCTGATCTGATCTGATCTGATCTGATCTGGTCTGTCGTCTGCGTCGTCCGGCAGTCCACGGCGGGCGACACAGCGTCCACCGGACGTATGCCGCCGCTTCCGTCTCGGCCGTCGCCGCGCCGTCGCGTCACCGGAGGCTGCTGTCCAGGCTCCGCTGCACGGCCCCCGACCGCGGCCGGTAAACCGCGGCCGGACAAACACGGCGGCGAGACTTCAGTCGGCTCCTCTAGTCCAGCCCGTCTGAGCCCTCGATACCGACCGACCTAGACCGGGGCAGGCCGAACGCAGGGTCGTACGTCGCCCTGCTCCGAGGGGCGAGCGCGGGCGGGACAGGGCCGTACGCCGGGCCGATACGGTTGTTGGATTGTCTGCCGACGCGCGCGGCTGCTCCGGTAGGTCACATCGCGGGACGCACTGGCGCTGATGTCCACGCGATCCTGGTCCTGGTCCTGGTCCTGGTCCTGGTCCTGGTCTGCCCTCGGCCAGCTGGCCTCACGCGGGTCAACCTCTGCCCTCGGGCAGCTGGGACGGGCACCGGCCAGACTACCAGCGACTCCTCCCCGACAGGTGCAGCAGAGATAGCGGCGCCGCTGTCGTCCGACTGACCCTCCCCCCCGTCCCCTTCACATACCGGAGCCGGTGCACGGTGCGGCGGCGGCGGGGGGGGGGGGGGGGGCGGCTGCCGTGACCGAGGCCGTGGGAGACACCGGGACTGACGGACGGGTCCGCCCGTCGACAGACAGACAGACAGACAGACAGACGGCCGCCGGTGACCGGGGCGGGGCGCCGGCGATCGACAGGCCGTGGGACGGCCGGCCCGCTGCTGGGGGAGGGGCCGGCTGGCTGCTGAGGTATGCCAGCCACGCGCTCGCAAGCAAGAGAAAATAGTCCCCGGCGTCGTGCGGTGGTGCTCCCGCAGCCGACAGCGGCGGCTTGCACTGATTGATTGTGTTGATTAAGGATGACGGGCGTTCTGCATTCCCAAAACAGCGCTTGGGAACGCAATCGCGAACATTTCACATCGTGCCCAAGAAGCAATAAATTGTGAATGAAAGCGTGTGAAAACTTCGATTGCATCTCAATTGGCAATAGACATGATAAGCATAACCAAACCATGAGAACGTCTGATGCAAGCCCTGGCGTCTCGAAGGACCGGGTGGGTGATAACGGCGACCTGATAAAGCAGCGAGAGCCCACGACGGACCGGAAGCATGCACGTGCTTCGACGATAGCCATGCCAGTAGCAAACCAAACAAACCACTGGCAAAGCAATCGGAGGTAGCGAACAAAGCCTCAGCAGAACCGCGTTCATCCCCTCCACCTCGTCCCCATGACCGCGGACGCCACCGCGTTCCATGGCCGCTGTCCCGGCGCGGCCGGCTCGCCGTCGGGCCCACCGGTCGACCGCTGCCGGCCAGCGGTGTGTGTGTGTGTGTCTGTGTACGCCCTGTTGCTAATGTGGCGTCCGGCGAGTCAGCCGGCCCGATGATGACGGAGCGGTCCGTCCCTAATGGCCTGTTTGTCCCGTCTGTTACGGCCCATCCCGGGCGGACGCGGCGGGAAACGGGGCGCAACAACGGCACGGCGCCGGCGGCCGAAGGGAGCTAACCGGCTGAACAGCGAACTACTTCCCAGAGCAGACGGGAGAGGGCTCTGAGCCGGTCCGGAGAACTACGGGACCGACCTAATACAGAGAGGAGAGGAACGGCACGTCCAGACAGAACGGGTGAAAAGATCGGTCCGGAGCGAGACAGAAAACGGAAACAGAACGGAGCAAGAGAGGGGGAGCCGAACCAGACGCTACAGATAGGAGAGGGGACGGAAGTAGGCGTTGGGGGGGGGGGGGGGAGGAGCAAAGAAGCGACGACAAAGCTGGCGACGAGACCCAGGCACGACACCGAGACCGGGGCGTCACCGGTGAGCGCCGCTCGCGCAACGGGACCCACGCCCGAGCTGACGTCACGCGGCGTCGGCCTCGGAGAAGCGCTTATCTGCGTTAAAGAGGATCGCGGCAACCCTTTCCGGTGACGCGCTGCCCCTCCCCTCCCCATTACGGAGAATCTGGGATCAGGAGGGAGCCCGACCGGACGGGTGGGCCTCATGACACAACAGCGATCCGCTGACGCATTCCTGGCCCTCCTGCCGGCACACGGCCAGAACATTCTCCTGACACGCCGGCCGTTCCTCGGTACGCCAGACGAGCAGCTGCAGGACACTCGACCACGGTCTTCTGATGATCTCACCCTTCTCGGAAGAGCGCCAGCCAATCCCCGAAGCGAATGTAACACAAGCCGAGTAGCGCGCCTCGCGAACGCGAGCGCCTCCGCCGCCTGTGCCCTACGCGCAGACTCTCCGCGAGTGGCGATCATCTCGCATGTTCGACCTACTGTCCGCACGGCCACGCGGTCAGCGCTGCACCGTGGGCTCGCGACGGCGCGGTGTCAGCTACCGACATCGTCAAGATCAGAGCGCGGTGAGGGGAGGCGTCTTACACGGAGGCTGCCGCCGCCGCTCGCAGCTGGCGCCAGCTGCAGATCGCCGCGAGGACAAACAGCCTGTGGACGCTCGGCCTTAGCAGCTCGAGAACCGGCTGCAGCGGCTTAGTTTGATGTCGCAGCGGCGGAATAAATTGGCATCTGTCGGCGCAGTTCGGCGGCCTTGGATGACGGCGTTTCGCCCGGGCTAGCGTGAGCCGGCGTTTATTAAAACGCTAATCGCCTCAAAGCGTTTGCAGCCGGGTTAATCTCGTCATTGAGTCCCATCAGCGCGCGGGCTTAAGCCTGCTTTATTGACGGGGGCGTGGCGGTTAAGGGCTCACGCGACAGAAGGAGGCCTGTTTCCGCTAACACGTGCCGCCGCCCCCCTCCCTCCCATTTTTCCCTGGGGTTGGTGGTGCTCGCGCCGGCACCACTGCGCATCAGCTGACGTGAGATCAGTCTGCAGCAGTCGCCACCTCGGGTACACGCGTGTTTCCGGCAAACGCGAGTTCTGGCCGCCAGGGTGGGGACGTGCCGAATCTGGGGTAGCGAAACCTGCAAAAACGCGAACGCGGAACGGCCGGAAGGCAACCGGTCAAAACGCGACGAAAATAACAATGCACGTGACGAGGGCGGCAGCACGAAGCATTACCTTATCAGCAGGTGCATCTGCCTCACATTATTTTGGTTTACTGACCCCAGCACGGAACAGGACAACCCAGAGATAACAAAATGACAAAGGCGACGAAAAACCTGACGCTCGAACCTCCTGCGTCACGACCCAAGCAAAAACAATCAGACAACCCCACCACAGCCGCACAAGACACCGTGATTCTCGCGGATCCCTGCCTCACTCAACGACTAGACACCAGAGGCTGCAGACCCAACTGACCATCGCACTCAAGCGGGGACGATCGACAGGGCGTCGCCGCCCCAGCCCCACCGAAAGCGCAGCGTCGCCCCGGCCCGTTCTGGTTCATCGCCACACGTCCCGGGCCCGCGGCTGGCGGCGGCCCAGCGCGGCGGCCGTGGCGCCGCAATGCGAACGTAACATGGCCCGTCGGCGGCCTCGGCTCTTCAGCTGGCGCCGGTCGCGACCGCTGCTCAGCACACACTGGGCTCGGAAGGCTCCGCAGCGGCAGTGGGTGCCGCCAGTCAGAACGTCGGTCCTGGCTGGCCCCCTCCGCAGCACATGAGGGACAGCCGCGTCTGACCGCAGCCACGTGATCAAGGCTAGAGCGACCTCCAGACGGGCCGTGCTGCCCCCGCATAACTCTACGGGTCGTCAAATCTCAACTCAGCGCGACCACGTCCCTCGCCGTCGTCTGCCAGGGAGCCCAGGAACCACGCCGCCCGGCTCGGCACGGCCCAGCGGCTTCAGCGGCTCGCACCGTAGACAGCTCCGAGCGGCGGCCGTCGCCGCTGATGTAGCGCGACAGGCTGCAGCCAAGCCTCGACAGCGGCCGTAAAGCGCCGCGTGCCGTCGACGCCCGGCTGGAGCCCGTGTCACCGCCGCTGCAGTAACCGCCGCCGCGGCGCCAACACACACACACACACGCCCCCGTCGACGGCCGACAATTATAAACTGGCCCAACCCGTCGGGCGACACAATCGCAGCGGCGCTCCCGAAAACAGACGCCAGACGACGGACACGCGGCCGGCCAAACACTGGCCCGGGAACGCCGGAGGCGGCCCGCGTCTGGTGCTCGCCCACTAACCGCGGTGCAAACACCTGACGCCGCCGTACGGGGCGACCGCGCCGCCGCAGGCCAGACGGCCGGGGCGCGCCCAAGGCCGCGCGTCACCAGCGCGGCGGCGGCCGACGCCGGGCGCGAGCGTTCCGGTACCGTTACCAGCCCGGCAAACACGGCGGCGGCCGCCGGTGGGCACGCGTCAGGGGCGGCGAGGGCGCCCGCCAGCCTGACCCCCCAGACCCCCACCCGAGTCCGCACTCTTACGGCGGCCCGGTGTCGACGCGGCGGGCGGGGCAGGGCAGCGGGTCCGGT